ATAAATTTCCTGTACCTATATTTTGCATGTTTGTTGACATTTCCTGTTTGATTACCCAGCTCTTAATGGTGTCACTTTTAGAAACCCATGTTTGAACTTTAGTTCAATGTGATCTTAGTACTCATCCTTCATGTTAGTACACATTTCCCCTCAAATATAAAGGCTTAGGCTGGTTTACATTTTACTGAGATATCCACACAGCACACAGTGGCCAGGCTCTCTAATATTGACCCTGAAGTCATTCCCTGTTTCTCTTTCTTCCCAAATGTCCCTTTCCTCATAAATTTCTCTCTCAGCTGAATGGCTGGAGGTGTCTGTGGAAACTAAGCCAGATGGCTGGCTGCAAAGAGAGATGGTTTAGAGCCACAGGGGGACAAAATCTGTCATCACTGTCTCTGTGTCCTTACTGCTGAGACTTATACTGCTATTCAGACTGGTAATCAGAAGTGCCCTCAAAACAAGAGTATTTGCGTGGTCTAGATGTTTATTAAAAAGGGTAACACTTTATTATAGGGAGTCGGGGACCAATATTGGCTGTTTATATAACATATAACAAGGCTTTTTATTAGTACTTATAAAGCACATATTCTGCATGACCATATTCTACATCCCTAATCCTACCCAATACCTAAACGTTAACCTACCAAACTAAATATTAATAAGCAACAAATTAGGAGTTTATTGAGGCAAAAGTCATTGTTAATAGTTTGTAAATAGCGAGAATTGGACCTTAAAATAAAGTGTGACCAAAAAGAAAATAAATTATGGATCTGGCAGCTCAAACAAAGCATGCAAACGATTGTTGACTAAACTATTTGTGTTGAAAATCTGTAACAAGGAAGACTGTTAAAGGGATAGTTCACCCAAAAAAATGAAAATTCTGTCATTTGCTCATTTTATGTTGTTTCAAACCTGACTTGCTTTCCTCTGTGGAGCAAAAAAGTTATATTTTTGATTCTAGTGCTTTTTTTCTCAGCTTTCTCAATTGACAGAGCTGGTCATTTGATGTCAATATGTGACCCTGGAGCACAAAACCAGTCTTAAGTCGCTTGGGTATATTTTTAGCAATAGCCAAAAAACATTATATGGGTCAAAATTATCGATTTTTCTTTTATGCCAAAAAGCATTAGGATATTAAGTAAAGATCATGTTCCATGAAGATATTTTGTAAATTTATTTACTACCGTAAATATATCAAAACTTAATTTTTGATTAGTAATATGCATTGCTAAGAACTTAATTTGGACAAATTTAAAGGCGATTTTCTCAGTATTTGGATTTTTTTGCACCCTCAGATTCCAGATTTTCAAATAGCTGTATCTCCTATCATAACAAACCATACGTCAATAGAAAGCTTATTTATTCATCTTTCAGATGTGTATAAATCTCAATTTAAAAAAATGGACCCTTATGACTGGTTTTGTGGTCCAGTGTCACATATATGGCCCTCATAGAATAAAACTACTTTGCGAATCACGTGAGGGTACGCATGAATGATGTTTTCCAGAAGTACTGTTAATTATATATAAAACTTTTTAATTAGGAGTGAGAACAGATGAAAATGTGGTAAACGTGAGGTATTGCTTTGAGGTGATGCGTATCATGCTCATTTGCATAGTTCAGGAAACACGGTCCATGTTTGTGTCACCTAATCGAATGCTGTAATTTGAGCACTGACTCGTTTTTGTTTTTACTACCTGGTTGGTAAAACTTAAGAAAGATTGTCTTCCAAGCACTGCTCTGTTTTCAAACTGTGTGAATCTTAGTGCATGAAGAGGTTATGTTTAATTAGGGTTTAATGTCCCAGATTAATGGAGTGTAATTCTGTGGTTCTTTTTAATGGCTCTAAAGCGACCACAAGTGCTGGTCGATGTCGGGTCACTCGTGAAAGAGCTCTTAGAGATCTAACAATAGAGAAACGGCACAGGGACATCATCTCCATAAATCTGCCTGACCACAATTACTTACAGTTGTGCGTGTGTGCGCGACTGCCAATAACAATGCTTCCTGTGATACAGAAAGTGTGGGGGATACAAAGAAGAAGCCAATGAGCTATTGTTTATGGCCCACTGTTGACCTGCTTATGCAGAATGAGAAACAATGGCTGCCTCTGTACAGTATAGCCGCCTGTAACGTTAAGGAAATGCGCAAGGTTTCTTGTCGAGGCAGGACACGTTTCCAGCAGTTGAAACATCTCAATCTGGGAGATCCAAAATGAAAGTGACAAGCACCTGAAGGGGACTGAGGGGATGAGAGGTGTCTCCAGGGAATGACAGAAATAGACCAGCGAAAACAAACCAAAAGCCTTCTGATTGAAGTTTCAATAACATTCCCCAAGGTTCTATGCTAAGCGGAGAGCTATTGTCATCTCTCCAGCACATTTTCTGACATTTTATAATAGGGATGGAAATTTTTTTCTGTATTAGGAATATGGGATGAGACATGATGTAATGACTTTATTTGTCGTCCATGACTCTGTCCTTTCCCCTATCTTCAATGCCTGAAAAATCATCATGTCTTGTCTAGCTAATCAAAAGAGCTATTATTTACCACTGTGCTAAGCTGCAGCTATTTCACTTAAAAAACACAAAGAAATATTTATTTTTTACATAAAGAAATATTTGTTTTAACCATTTTTAGCTTCAGTGATAGATGTTATTTAAAAGGCTAAGCTAAGCTTGTTAACCGAAAACGCATAAGGGAAATATTTGATCGTTTTTAGCTTAGGTGGTATATAATATGTAATTTAAATGGTTAAACTGTTTAAAAGGGGAATTACAGTAAATGTTTATATATATATATATATATATATATATATATATATATATATATATATATATATATATATATATATATATA